TTGGCCTCTCTCTCTCTCTCTCTCTCTCTCTCTCTCTTTAATAATATTTATTAAAGTTTAAAAAAAAGGTTACAAAAATAAGAAGAGGAAAAAAAGAAAAAAGAAAATACAAAATACAAAATACAGAAGAATAGAAACAATTAAAAACAAATCAATCTTTCCATATCTTATCTTTCATTTGCTTGTTTCCCTGACCTCCTCACACCTCCCTTTTTTTGTATTCCAGTTCAATTAATTAATTCAGCAATTCCCTTCCCTCTTTGATTTTATCTTAATCTTTTATCTTAATATATTATAACTTTAGATTATCACTTGTTAACAATCCATTTTTACATATTCCTTTATAACATTGCTGCTAAAAAAACCCTTAACTTCAATCCAACATCATTCTAACATTCATTAATTTTGCAGTATTTCTGTAGATAGTTTTTAAATTTCTTCCAATCTTCTTCCACCTCTCTCTCTCTCTCTCTCAATATATATATGAAAAACACCCCAAAATTTATACACTATCTCATAAGAAGTTCACTTCAACATGACGTGTGTGTATGCTTGCATGTGAGTGTGTGTGTGAATTATGGTTGTTAAGTCAAGTCTCATTCCATTAGACATAAAACCACACAAGTCAGGCTATTTATTCACAGTGTCATTAAAAATTTCCCACCTTTTTTGTGCTTATATTTATGGGTACGGCAGGGAGGACAATGCATCTCGCTTAGTGGAACAACTTCAGAATGATTCATGGATTATGCTTTCCGTCCAGCCTCTCGTGGTACTTTGTTAGCACACATTGATTGCCTTTTGAAGAGTTTATTGCTGCATTAGTAAATCAGGGGAAGATTTACTATGCTAGTTTTAAATAGTCACCGTGATTTAGGACCTTCAAACTCTTTGTGATGGGGATAACCCCAGCTAAACGCATAGAATGGGGCAAAGATCAACACGAGGAGGTGAGCACGGGAGGAATATGGGAGTGATTTCCGCTTCAGAAAGATGCTTTCCACTAACTTTATTTATCTGAGTTTCATTAGCAATGCAGTCATCCGTCTAATATCCAGTGGGAATCCATGTTAATTCCCTTTCCCACTCTGTGGGGCTTAGCAATGATAATAACAGGATTGCTGTGCGATGTTTGGGGAGACATAGCATGGTTATGAAACTCAAAGCATCACTGAGAAGGATTTCTTAAAGGAAAGGATAGTCTTGGGAGTTCTCTGCTCCTCTTCAAAGTCTTAGATTTTCTAGTTTATTGTAAGATTTGTACTGCACAGCGGATGACTCCAAGGTACCAAGCTTGGGATCAGGGTACTAGTGGTGGTAGGGCTAGATGATGCATTGTTAGCCCCAGAGCAGTGGTTCATCCCTCTTAATATTTTGTTTTTGTTGGGGGGATTCATTTAAATTCATTCCACAATAGTTCCCATTTAGTGAACCAGAGTTTGTTTTTAGAACAGGACATTTCCTGCTTTACAAACCTTAGACACAAGCAGAAGAACATAAGAAGAGTCTGCTGGATCAGTCCAAAGGCCCATCTAGTCCAGCATCCAACCAGATGCTCTTGGAAAGTTCACAAGCAGCATATGAATTCAATAACATTCTCTCATAGAATTGTAGAGTTGGAAGGGACCCCAAGGGTCATCTAGTCCAACCCCCTGCAATGCAGGAATCTCAGCAAAAGCATCCATGACAGATGGCCACCCAGCCTCCTCCTGCTGTTTCCAGCAACTGGCATTCAGAGGCATAGTGTCTCTGACAGTGGAGGTAGAATGTAGCCTTAAGGTCAGTAGCCACTGAGAGCCTTATGCTTAAGCATAGAATCTTAGCATCATAGAATTGGAAGGTACCCAAGGGTCATCTAGTCCAACCCCCTGCTTCTTGTGGGGGGAAATTCTATAGTTTATCTAGTTTGTACTGTGCGATGAAGGACTTTCTTCTGTCTCTTCTGTCCTGGCTAATGCTTCCACAAAGTGGTAGTGCTCTTGCCTATATAAGTATGGTTCTCAGCTGAGGCCAGTTCCCCCCCACAAAATTCCTTTCCCATGTTTCTCTCTTTTTTTTTTTAATGATATTTATTGAAAATTTTAGAATTACAAAAGAAAACAAAGAGGAAAAGAAAGAAAGAAAAAACAGAGAAAAGACAAACCACAATCCAACAATACAGATTAATAAAAATCAAGATCAAAAAATAACACAACACAATTAAAAAACAAAAATATGTCGCAAACATTTAAAAACAAATCCAATATTCTCAACTCTCCACTGTCATTACCTTCTTTCTTTGACCTCCTCCTCCTCCCTTTTTTGTATCCTAGTTGTTAATTGTCGCAGCAAATCCTTTCCATATTTCGTAATATTCTGTCATTACTTTACCTTAATCTATTTTAATCTTATCTTATTATGAAAACCTTAAAACTTAAAACTTAAATCTTATTTTTACCAATTTCTCATGACCATAATATTCTTACATAATTCTTTAAACATTTTTACTAGAGCCAAATAATTTCGTTTCAACATCTTTCTAACATTCATCAATTTTATAAAACATAATAAAAAAGAAAGAATAACAATCCAATCTTCATCCAGCGTCTCTTCCTCCTGGACCCGGGTTTTGTCAGTCCTTTCTATCCCATCAATCTGGCGCATTAACCTGGTAACCTTATATCCGAGGCCCTTAAGTCCCTTCCATGTCCCTTCCGCAGCTCTTCTTCATATTTATAGCTGTATTTTCCTTTGTCTCCTAGTTCTTTCACTCTTGGGAACTCCAGCTTGAGAATGCTTTTGACCCTTCTCGACAAATCAGCCCCTTTTCCATAGTCCACACTAAGCTCCATGTGATATTTAAGAACATGTTTCAAAGTCCCTCCAAAATTGAGAGCCCCCATAACCCCAAACATCTCACGGCCCATTGCCAGACTCGAAAAGTCCAAACCTCCCTGCATAGGGGGGTCTATCCAACCCCCCATTTCCAAGCCAAACCAAACTTTATCTTTCCAAATCTGGCTTTTTCCAAGTTCATTTGTCAAGTCCAAGAATTCATGTTCCTGCTGGGCCGCAACTCCCTCCATCTCTGGCGCCCAAGATTCAGCAGCATCCTCTTCCCTCATCTGTTCTGTCAGGGCACACTCCTGATCTGATTCCTGGGTGGGCTCTATATAGTTTCCCACTGCCTGTCCAAAATTTCTAATCGCATCAGTCATCAGTCTAATCGCATCAGTCATAAAATCCGTCTTCTCATGTAGCTGTTCCAATAGGGCACTTGTTTTACAGAAAGCACTCAACAGAGCTTCTGAGTACATTGTCCTGCAAGGTCAGAAGTCTATTCCCACGATCGTAATCTGTAACAGCTGCTGGCTCCCGGTTCAAAATTGGTTACAGTTTCACAGGCTCCCTCTAGGGGAAGAACTTCTGTTTGTTCTTTTCTTTTAAAAACAGATCTAGCAACAAAGTTTCCTTTTTCAAATATTTTGTCAGTATTTGTTCCTTTGGAAAGCGAAGGGGAACAATGGAATCACTATGTATCTCTTCCTTTAGCTATCTGTCAGAAACGTTTGTCTCTGGTCAATGAGCTACAGAAAAAAAACGTCAGTCCTGACCCCTGCTCCAGGATCAAGACGGTGGAAAGTTACTTTACTTTACACTCACTTCTGCAGGTTTAAACAGTCCAGAAAAAATCCCCCCTCTTCTCCTGCTTCCGAAGGGGGTTCAACAATTTTAAATGGTGAGAGTTAATCCTTTAGAAACGATTTTCAGAACTTTAGTTTGCCGTGTCTTTGCTTTAATCTATCTACAAAGAAACGGAAGGCTGACTTCTTGTTTAGACCTTCCCGTTTCAGTGCCAAATTAAATTAAACTTTTAAGTCCAGTTTTCCTTTTTGCTCGCAAATCCTTATTTAGAGTCCAATTGTCCAAAACTTAAGTACTCACAGGTGGTTGTTTTAAAAGCCAAATTGTCCCAGGAAAAAGGCAGCGCTCTCCAGCAACGGCTGTGCGGCTTCGCTCCACGGAAGAAGCAGTTGACTCTCAGCACCGCGCCACTTCCCCCCTTCGCTCCGGAGCCCGTTAGTGGGTTCCTTTGCGGGTTGGGGGGGGCGCTAGAGGTGCCCGCCGAGTCCCATGGTCACAGGCTTCATCCGCCTGTGATTTTTAAATGGGTCCCCGCTTCACCGTAGTGGAAAAGACCCTTTTCCTGTTGAGCTGGTCCCTCCAGTTCAGAGGGAGTCCGCCATTGCCGATGGCGCCACCCCAGAAGTTGCCCCATGTTTCTCATTTAGGATGGGGGTGGGTGGGAAATCCTCCGTTCACTCCTATGATTCTGTGAGGTTGTTGGCAGCTGTCTGCCTCAGGAGTGCCTTTGGTGGTGAACTCAACCTGTTGGAAGGTTACAGCGCCTGCTGTGGCTGTAGAGACACCCAGGCAAGCAAGAGGAATCATACCTGGATAGCTCACTTGGTTAGAGCAGGCATAGGCAAACTCAGCCCTCCAGATGTTTTGGGACTACAACTCCCATCATCCCTGACCACTGGTCCTGTTAGCTAGGGGTGATGGGAGTTGTAGTCCCAAAACAGCTGGAGGGCCAAGTTTGGTAATCACTGGACTAGATGATGATCCTCAGGGTCCCTTCCAACTCTATGATTCTGTGCAAATTCAAGCACACATTCCAGCAAGGCAAGAACACTCAAGGAGGGTGCTATGCAAGGCCAGAGCTGGGTTGGGTTCTGGGGAGATCCTCAAGGGCTGGAAAGAGAGGCTTTGAGGGCTACATTTGGCACCTGGGTCTGCCCTTCCACACTCCTGCTCCTTGAGAGTCAGCCCATGGACTTAGTGAGACATCTGAATAAGCATGCGTAGGACGAGGCATTAGCAAATCATGCTCAGCCACTTCCAGATTCTCAAAGCCAAGAGACACTTGAAGCTCCGAACTAAAGCTTTTCAAATGGAGAGGAGATTAGATGTGATCCTATGCCAGAACCATTAATACTAGCCTTGGGAGTTAATGATTCTTAAAAGAAACTGCTGTTTCGCTGTCCATTTGTCAGGGGCAAGCGGTATCTAGACCTTGGCTGCTGAACATGAGCATATTTAACAGTAGTCTTTCTTGCTGCTTTCTTTTTGTCCTTAAAAAATAAAATAAAAAATCTCACACAGTTAATATTTTATGTGCATCTGTAGGGCAAAGAATTAGTTTCCTTCTCCAGGACAGATTTTAATAACTTCCCCACCACTTTTATCATTCTCTAATTGCTTTACTGGGAAGCACAGGGAATTCTTCTTAAGGTTCCTTTGCTGTCAAACGTCGGGCTTAAGATGAGTCCAGGGGTCACCAGTGTGGTGTCTAAAGACACATATGCAATTACAGAGAGGCCTTCCCTGGCACCCCCAGGGCCTCTGGTGCCCACAGGCTGGAGGCAGAGCTTAGCCATCCTGGCTAGTAGCCACCTCATCCTCCACAAATTTGTCCAATGTTCTTTTAGAGCCACCCAAGTTGATCGCAGTTCCTGCCTCCTGTGGGAGCAGATGCCACAGTTTAACTACTCGTTGCCTGAAGAAGTACTTCCCTTTATCTATACTGAATCTTCCAACATCCAACTTCATTGGATGTCCATGAGATCTTAAGTGAGAGGAGAAAATCTTTTCTCCGTCTACTCTCTCCATGCCAAGCAGAGTTTTAAAAAGTCCCAAACAGTGCAACCTTTCCTCATAGCGGAGCCGCTCCATGCCCTTGATCATTTTGCTTGCCCTTTTATGAACCCTTTCCAACTTGACGATATCCTTTCAGATGTGAGGTGACCTGAACTTTCCACAGTGCGCTGTGATCTAAACCACTGAGCCTCTTGGGCTTGCCAATCAGAAGGTTGGCGGTTTGAATCTCTGCAACGGGGTGAGCTCCCATTGCTCAGTCCCAGCTCCTGCCAACCTAGCAATTTGAAAGCACACCAGTGCAATATAAATAGGTACCACTGTGGCGGGAAGGTAAACGGTATTTCCGTGTGCTCTGGTTTCCATCACAGTGTTCCATTGCATCAGAAGAAGTTTAGTCATGCTGGCCACATGACCCAGAAAGCTGTCTGTGGAGAAATGCCAGCTCCCTGAAAGTGAGATGAACGCCACAACCCCATAGTCGCCTTTTAATGGACTTAACCATCCAGGGGTCCTTACCTTTACCTTTTTACATGCAGTTGCACCACAAACTTGTATAACAGCATTATGATACCTGCTGTTATATTTTTAGTCCATTTCGTAATGATCCCAAGCCATAGGATTTGCCTTTTTCACAGCTGCTGCACACTGGGTTGCATAGGAGACAACGCCTAGGTCCCTTTGCCCCCACCCAATAAAATATTTCAGGGGGCTGGGCCTCCTAAAGTTGATGGGCTTTGCTATTCAAATGGTTTGTGTGTGCTATGGCTTGTGATTAATAATGCAGGGCGGGGCTTACCTGCCCACTCTATATTTTATTCAAGTTGGTACACCTGTTGGGTTGACTATGTCTCCCTCAATGTACCCATTCCCCAAATAGAAGAGATTGTTTTCCCTCTCTTTCACTGCCACCCACTCCAAAGTTTGGTTTAAATTTTCAACCTTTTCAAATACTGGCCCAGCACTAGGTGAGACATTCAGTTGCAGATCTCAAGCATGTCATCATATTTGACCCTGAATTGCTTAGAGAATGAATATTTTATTGTGGAGTGGAACTCACAATGCCCCTTATCATTCACATATCCGCCGAAGTACAAACTTCATTTCCAATTCTGTGGTTCCCATTCTGCGCATTCTAGCCATCTGCACCTCCCATGGTTCCTCGGGACATACACGGGCATGAAATCTTAATTAAGAAGCAGGAACAAATAGTTTCATGCAAGACTGATATTTTGACTTCCTTGTCCTTTGTGGACAGTTCCTAGGCAAACCCCCACTGTGACTATCGAGCTGCTAATTTAACAAAAGCTACAGAGCTCTTTGCATTTATGGGCTTGGCATCGGCAAATTTCAGCACAGAGAGAGATTGAAGCGGCGGTTGCTGATCACTTTTCTTAACAACGTTCCCCAACACCTGCTGTTTAAAAATCACCCAAGGGAATGATGTCAGGAGTGGGCACCTGTGGTGCAGGCAGAGTTGTCCAGCAAAGCGTGAATTTGGAAAAGTGGCATGATTATCCTTATTGCTACAAGTGCTGTGCCAAAAAGAAAAAAAAATATTGCATTCCTTTCCACCAAATATTTTTGCACCACTTATTTTTTTAATATACTTCATTATTTACATTTGTTCAATACTTGGTACAGATATGACATCCAATATCATATACTCTCACAAGTGAGACAGAGTGTGTGATGCAAGGTAAAATAAAGCAGGCATAGGATATATTCTTACTAAACCATTGTCCAGAAATGCTTAGGAATTATGTCTGACCACAAGGGTCTTTGCGAAATTGGAGGAAGTAATTTACCATCTTGTTTATTAACGTAAACAATGAAGGGGGTACCAGGTAATTGTCAGGCGTCAGGGAATCCGATCCCCCCACTGTAGGCTGCCAGGAATAAATAGACAAGGAAAGCTCTTACCAATGTCTTTTATTCAATATTCAAAGAGAGAGGCTTAGAAATGCAGCCTCTTGGAGTAATGACGTTGCTCCAAGTAATCTCCACCCCCCCTTCTCTCTTCAGTCGTCAACAGCACCACCCACCTTACAGTGGCCACTTAGGGCCATTTGCCTCTGAGCCCTTTGCTCTCCTACTTTCAAGGCTCGCCGGGTTCTAGGAGAAGGGGGGTCTGGAATGCTTTCTAGTGATAACGTGTCAGCCAGCTGCTCTGGCTCTGCTTCCCCCTCCTCCTCTCCCATTATTTCCCAACTTTGCCCCTCATCTACCGCTGAGCCGTGACCTTCCACATACCACTGTTGCAAATCAAGACTGTCTTCCTCTTCTCTGGAAGGTTCAGGAGTGGGAGGTGGTCTCCATCATTCCTCCTCTGTCCAGTGCCTGAGAGCAATTGAGAAAGATTTCTGCATTTTGGCTCCTCTAGCCTGTTAGTTGCACTCTGTCACTTTCTCCACCATGGTTAGTCCCCAGATCCTACTCCACCAACCCTGTAGAATAAAATGTGTATGGGACCTCCATTGCTGAGCAACTTCCAGATCTGCAGCTGCAAGTAAGAAAATGATAAGATCTTTATTTAACACATTTGGTCTTATGTCAAGAAATATTGACTCTAAAGCTGGTCCATTGGAATAAGTTGTGGCACTATAGTTGGAGACATTATGAAATATTGCATCAATTAATGGGAAAAGAAATTGTGTTCGAAAATTATCAAAGGGGAGAGAAAGTGATGGTGAAGTTAGCAATTTGAAAATGTGTGAAATTCAATTATATTTACAGAAACACAAGACCTTTGGATGAGTGTGTTGAAAAAATGACATTGTATGACTTTGCTTCCAACATAAAATAATTTTGTGCTGGTGTTACACGCACAGTTTCTTCAAAATGTCAAAATGCTACTTACATCTATAGCTATAATCCAAATGGTTGTACAAAGAATGTTTTGGAAGAGTTTGCAAAGTTATCATTCAAGTGAAATTCTTTTGGGTTGGGTGTAGATTTATTGCTGCTCTTACTTGACTTCTGAGGTGGTTAAGGTGGGGTTGTGAGTCTCCTTTCTTTCATTCTACAAATCATCTTTCCAGCAGTCCGCACTCTGCAGTCTTCTTGGGTACCCAAACAACAACTAAGCCTAGGGGCAGCCAAGGATGCTGAGGGTCACTGGTGATTTCCTTCTCCCATACATTCCAACTTTATCCCATACAATCTGCTTTAACAAACATCACCACTACCACAACTCTTCAGAATTCCACAGGCAGTATTCTGGGCAGCATTACTTTGTAAGGCCTATAATGAAGGTTTATGGCCTATTGGAGGACAAAGGAAAGATCTGTGAGGTCTATTGGAGACCATCAAAACTGATAGTAGCGTAACCCTGCTAAGTTGTTGTTGTTGTTGTTTTAATGCACAAGCAAGAATACACACCACTCTTCCACCTCTTAATTATTTCAAGGTAAGAAAGTGCAAGAGAGAAATTCTACACACACATAGTTAAGGGATTATGGAGGAAAATTAATCCCTTTTACTTCCCCTGCATAAAGTCCATGAACTGATTTGTTAGCAGTTTGGCAGTCTTAATCCATGCTGGATTAAGAGTGCCTATAAATTTCAGCCACTTTGGCCAAAAGCAAGGGGAGGGATTTACAGACAATTTCTTCTGGATGGCATGTTAGGGGTTAAACCAGATACTGATGCTTACTGTGTTTGCCTTAATCCTGCTCACTGCACTTTGAGGAGCGATGCTGGCATGGCTAAGAATCCCTGCTTTGAATGAGTACTCCATCCTTAGAAAGGCCTGGCAAGACAGGGGCAAACTTCATGATCCAAGATGAGAATTAATTTTAGAAGCTTGCCCAGGTAAAGAGAAGTTCAGGAGGAGTGGAAGGCATGAATGAGGATACACTGAAAGAATGGAGCAGGGACAATCTGCTCATCAATCTACAAGGAAACTGTCAATTGATATTGCGGCAGTTGAGTGATGAACTCACAGGCACTAGCTCAGCTGCTGTCACTCATGGCACAGCAAGAAAATCAATTTCATCTTGATTGCACGTTAGGAGGTAAAGTTTGGAGCCATCTCTCTCGGAGTGGTCTGCTGTGAACACCACTAAAACTTATGACAATGGCATTTCCTCTGGTCCCCGATGTACCCATTAGCTCCCAACAATGTGAGGTCGCAGGGAATGGCTTGAAGGTATATAATGCCACCAAGTAAAGCAGGTCTGGGCAGATGGATGAATGATCAGTAGGAAACCTCATGTATGGCCCTTTGGATTTCATAACAGGCATGATTTGATTTGATTTATTGCGTGGCGAGTTCCCACCTACCCCCCGGTGGAAATAAAGACACATGACACAAATATTTAGGTTAATGGGCAAAAAATGGCCACAACTTTATTGGTTACAGGAATGAGTGGTATTAGCTTAGGCATTGGTCCTAACCGACTATCCGGCTTCAGCCCGATTGCTTGAAGACCGGGAAGGGTTAACCACCAGTAGGGGGAGTCCTGCTGATGCACATCAACTAGGAACTCCCTCGGGGTCACCGCTCGGGGGCGTGCCTTAGGCCCTCACCTCCATAGGCTTCAGACAGGGCCACCCCCCCCCCCCAGAATCCTTTACCGGACTACCCTTCGATATTTGGGGGAGGTGATGGCGCTTCCTCCCCACCTTCATCTACATGACAATACTCCTACCAATGCCTAACTGCCAATGCCGAGGAAGTTGTGGCGATTTGCCATGAGGTAGGCAAAAAACCAAGTGGCTGGTGCTAATTTGCCAAGTGGAAAAAATTCCTACCAGGCCCCTTAACGGCGACCAACCGAGGTCCATAGCAAGGTCAAAAGGAAAACCTAAAGTGTGGGAGGGTGGGAAACCCGATGAGCTGAGGCGGCAAAAGAGGGAGATCCCTGGCCGCGCTAGTGTGATATTGCGCAAGCCATGCCCCCCCAGACCAGCCGATTGGCTGGCCAGGGGATGATGTGGCCAGGGGTCCCCTCAATCGTGACTAGCCCAAGGTCACCCAGCAGCTGCATGTGGAGGAACGGGGAATCGAACCTGGTTCACCAGATTACGAGTCCACTGCTCTTAACCACTACACCACACTGGCTCCATTGTTAAGCTATGGAACTCACTTTCATAGGATGCAGTGATGGCTACCGACTTAGATGGCTTGGGCGATTGGGAGGCGGTTATTAATGGATACTATCCATGATGGTTCTGCTCTGCTTCCACAGTCAGAGGAAGTAATGCCTTTGAATGACAGCTGATGTTATTCCCCTCCCGAGGAGGGGAAAGTGCTCTTGTGCTCAAACGCTGGACCAGAGGGGCCACTTGCCTGCTCCAGCAGGCTCATCTTCTGTTCTTATGCAGGATGTGATGGGAAACGGCCAAGTCCTTTCTGTCAGCCCCTTAAAATGCTAGGCTAAAGAGGAAAAATGGGGCTGGGTGGTGCTCTGGCTGGAATTCAGCTATAAAGTACATTAATTACGGGAATTCCAATAAAAATTGTGGCCATGTGACACTCTGCAGACGCGCCAATGAACCCACCCTTGGCTGCGCTCGGCACCAAGTTCATTCATTATCACAGGGCACTTTATATCAAGTGTCACCAAAGCACTGTGGGGCTTGTGAAGCGCTCAGAGGCATCGAGCCCATTATGCGCCTTCAAACGGAGGGAAACAAATGAAGCCAGCTTTTTAAATAATGCTAATAAAAAATTCTCCGAGGCTCTTTTGCAAATTAATTGTCATTTGCTTTCTCAGAGACAGAGCGGGCTGTAACAAAGCGACAGTGCTGCTTATGGGAATCCCTTTGGCTTGATGGGAATCCCGCAGTGGCAGCCCAGGCAAACGGGAACCTGTAGTGTACCATTGCTGAGCATCTAAACAGAAATATGGAAGGCCGTTTTCCATGTGTCCAGTGTGGAAAGCTTTGATCTGTAGGAAATCATGATGGGAGGATATTTCCTGGTTAGCCACAGGACTGGCCTGGAATCCTAGGGTTGCCTCCAACTAGGTTCAACACAGAATACACATATTAAAAGCAATGGACCTGAGTTCTATGAAGAACTTTTTGGGTCACACCAATGGCCCATTTAGTCCAACAGACTCCCAAGAGAGGTGAAGGACTCTCCTTCCTTGGAGGTTTTAAAGCAGAGGATGATCTAGTTGAGATTCCGGCATTGCAGGGGGTTGGATGACCCTCAAGCTCCCTGTCAATTCTACAAGTCTATGATCCTGTTCTTGTAGTGGCCAACCAGATGTCTGTGGGGAAACCTGCAAGCAGGACCCGGGTACAAGAGCACTCTGCCAACCTGCAATTCCCAGCGACTGGTATTCAGAGGTATACTGCCTCTGACAGTGGAGGTAGAACATGGCCATGATGGCAAGTAGCCATTCAGAGCCTTATCCCCCAAGGAGTTATCTAATTCTATTTTAAAGCCATCTGCTGCCTCCTGCAGAAGCAAGTCCTATAGTTTAACTATGTGCTGTGTGAAGACATGGTTTCATTTATCTGTCCTGAATATTGCAACCTGGCTTGTCTTTGTATCACATCATGAAATGAAGATCACTCAGAGGATATGATGAATATATATATATATATATATATATATATATATATATATATATACACAGTGGTACCTCAGGTTACATACGCTTCAGGTTACAGACTCCACTAACCCAGTGCTTCAGGTTAAGAACTTTGCTTCAGGATGAGAACAGAAATCGTGCTCCAGCAGTGCAGCGGCAGCAGGAGGCCCCATTAGCTAAAGTGGTGCTTCAGGTTAAGAACAGTTTCAGGTTAAGAATGGACCTCCGGAACAAATTAAGTACTTAACCCGAGGTACCACTGTATATTTAAATTGTCTTCTGCTTAATCCTAAACTCCAATGTGAGGATCTGGAACGAAACAGGCATAACAAACCTAGTTCTGCTCCATTGCTGGCATTACACTCTGTCTCGTAATTGAAAATGGTCCTTCCATTGGTCTACAGCTTGGTGCCTTGGTGGGACCTGCTAGTGGTTGTAGCAGTTTTGTAGGTTGCAGCAATGGAGCTGTTGCCATTTTTTATATTGTGCTGCTTCTAGAAAAAGAGAAAGGTAATTCCATCCCATCAGCAGAGTGCAGCAGGGAAGCAAGCTTATCCCATCATGACTCTGCTGTGATACCAGCTGCATTTGGTTCTGCTTCATTGTCAACTACTAGCAATGCCATCAGACTATCCTAGCTGCTTCTATCCTAGCTGATTAAAAACTTCAGCATTAAGAACTGCTGCCTGAGTTTGCTTTCCTTCCTCCTCCTTCCCTTTCCGCATTTCCTTTTGTGTTAAGTCTTTTACACTGTAAACTTGTACAGAGGTGCTTAAATAATAATAATTGATCCGTAAGCTTCTCTGTGAGCCATTTTGACTGAAGAGTGGAACAAAAATGCATTCAATAAATAAATAAAGAATACCAGAAGCAACAGAGGATAAGGGTTCGTACATATCTACAAAGTGTAGCATAAGTGAGTCAGGATTTAAAGCTTTTGTTCCCCTTGCAAACTCTTCTTGCTGAAACATCCGCTTTTAAGGAAAGGGCTGTTTCTCCAAATCCTCAATGGCAGTGACAGTATTATCCTTCAACGGGCAAAATAACAACTTAGATTTCCTGTCATTTTTATCCACGGTAATTTCCAGAGAGCATTAACAATTCATGGGTATTCTGTAAAGCCGGTTACATTATTTTATTCTTTTTTAAAAAGCAATTATTATTATTATTATTTACTTGCAACCAAATGTGTGCTTGGCATTGTGTTGCTTTTTGTTATGTCTCAAATCTTTTTTAGAGAGGGCTAGGAAATGTGGGTCAGGCTTTGCAATAAGTGCTCAATTAATCATTATTACAAATCTTCGGCATTTTTCATAATAGCGGATATCATAATAAATTGATTTGGTTTTCAGGGAGATGGCATATGAAAATTTGCTGATCTTTTGTGCAGACAGATTATGTTTCCATTTCAATGGGTTTGGATACCGACTTCCCCACCCCCGTGTCCGCTGTGATTATAGTACTATTCTTCTCTTGCATTGGACTTTTAAAAGTCTGTAGGGAAGGAGGTTAGTGCTACACATATAGCATAGAAAGCTACCTTACATCAGGTCAGACTATCTATTCAAGCAGCCCTCTATGGTCTACTCAGACGAAGGTGTTCCTTATCACCTGTTATCTGGCCACTTTTCTTTTCAAGATGTGAAAAAATCGATTTAAATAGACCGGGAAAAACTGTCTGTGGACGAACGCCAGCTCCCTTGGCCTTTAAAGTGAGATAAGCACCACAACCCCAGAGTCATCTGCGACTGGACTTAACTGTCAGGGGTCCTTTACCTTTTTTATATTTTCTGCATGTAGGTAGAACCATGAATGTTTAGAGTTGAAAGTGACCCTGAGGGTCATCTTACCGAACCCCCTGCAATGCAGGAATCACAATTAAAGATCCTTGACAAAGGCTGCTTAAAAACCTCCAGTGGAGGAGAGTCCACCTCCTTCCAAGGGAGTTTGTTCTGCTGTTGAATAGTTCTTACAATCAGGAAGTTCTTCCTACTGTTTACCATATTTTTCTCTCCATAAGATGCACCTGACCATAAGACACACCTAGCTTTTAGAGGAGGAAAGGGGGAAAGTCCCATTCTGGGGGGGGGATCAGCTCACAGTTGTGCAGCTTCTTTTGCAAAGGGGAAAAGCCCCTTTTTTGAGGATCAGCTCAAAGTTGTGCAGCTTCTGTTGCAGTAGCAACCTGCCAAATGCCCTGTTTTAAGCAGGGTGGCCCTGCTTTCTTTGAAGGATCCTCAAGCTCTGCCTTTGTCTCGTTGCTCCCCGATTTCCTACAGCCTGATGATGTGGGCTGCAGAAGCAGCTCCTGAGGTGGTGGCAGCTTTCCCTTCCCCGCCAACATGGTGCCTTTCTGGGACTACAACTCCCATCAGCCCCTTGGGCAGTGCGGCTAAGGTAAGGTGGGTGGCAGATGGTGATGGGTGGCAGTGAGCAATGAGCGGGTGGGTGGTTAGTGGTGGTCAGCAGGCATGTGGGCGAGCAACGGGGGCAGTGGGATGGTGTGTGTGTGTGTGTGTCCCATTTTGCCCTCCCAAAATGTTGGAGGGTTTGTAGTAGTTATTAATAATTTTACCCTCTATGATTTTCTGCATAAAACTTTGGTGTCAGTCTTCAGGGAATCCGATCCCTCCCACGGTGGCAGCCAAGAAGCATAAACAATAAAAGTTCTTACCAAGTTATTTATTCAATATTCACAGAGAGACATGAAGGAATGCAGTCTCCCCTAGATCATGGTGTTGCTCCAAGTAAAGTCCCACCCCCTCCATCTCTCCTATTCTATGTCACCCCTGTGTCAGCTAATCTGAGCTTTCTGCCTCTGAGCTTTCTGCTCTACTACTCTCAATGCACGCTTGGTCCTAGGAGAGGGGGTCAGGAATGCTTTCCAGAGACACTGATCTGTCAGCTGTCTCTCTCCTGGTGCTTCTTCTTCCTCCTGCTCCAATATTTCCCAGCTTCTCCCCTCTGCAGACTCTGAACTATGACCTTCTGCAAACCACTGTTCTAATTCTATACTGTCCTCCCATTCTCAGGAAGGTTCAGGAGAAGGGGCGGCGGCCCCCACCATTCCTCCTCAGTCTGTCTGGTGCTCAAATGTCTGCACTGAGTGTCCATATGCTAGCATATGTAATAATTTACAAGGCCCTTAACAATTTGGACCAATGAGATCATCAAAGAGGTCTTTGTGGGAGTTTCTGTCTGTGGTCCCCCATGGCTCCAATGTACGGATTGTATCTACCAGTAACTGTGTTTAGTTTTGTGGGCCCAGTTTTACGGAAGCTTCCTTCCAGTTGATGTCAGGCAGGCCTCCTCCCTGTTGAACTTCTGGCACCTACTGAGGCTTTTGTTTTGTCTTATTCCAGCAGGCATTTTAACTGAGTTTTAATTTTATAGTTTCATTCCTGTTTAAATTGTTTTAAGTTCCTTGCACGCCACATAGAGACAACTGTAACTAAGTGATATATAATTTGTTGAAATAAAAAAATAAGTTGATGACCATCCCCACATTCCATTGTTTGATTGAGTGGGGGGGGGGGGACTCCCTTTCAGAATAATTGCCACACTTAGGAAGAACAAGGATATAGTTTGAGTTCCTCACTTGTAGTTTTAAAAATCATGCAATGTGTCGACACAAATAGAAGTTCTCAATATTGCAGTTATTGTATAAGGGATTATTATTATAACTGGAATGCAATGGAAATTAATAAGATTTTGGAACCCAGAAATAAAGCAAACAACTATGTCATCAATTCTAGCACGTGGGGGGCCACCTTATCTAAATTATATAACTTGGTATTTGAATGATTGGTATTAATAGTTGTATTGTAAATTGGTATTGCTATACTGAGGCTATTATTGGATTGTAATTGGAAAAACACACACACACACACTTCCTTTCACCTGTCCAGAATTTCCTACCATTCATTTAACCCAATGACCCTATTCCCATGCCCTTCAACTGATCAGGACATCTTGTGTTTCTTCACGCGAGAGCACAACACCAAAACAACAACAATATGTGTTGCTGCAATGTCACACCCCCACACCACAATCTCACTCTGAAAAAGCACTTTTTTGGCACTGTGGTCCTGCGTAGCGCTCAAAATGCATATTTTTGGGGGTGTCATGCTCTCCCACTAACAATTCAGCTTGAAATAAACCATGGGTAGGCGAACTAAGGCCCGAGGGCCAGATCCAGCCCAATCGCCTTTTCAATCCGGCCCGTGGACAGTCCGGGAATCAGTGTGTTTTTACATGAGTAGAATGTGCCCTTTTATTTAAAATGCATCTCTGGGTTATTTGTGGGGCATAGGAATTCATTCATCCCCCCCCCCAAAAAAAATATATATAGTCCGGACCTCCACAAAGTCTGAGGGACAGTGGACTGGCCCCCTGCTGAAAAAGTTTGCTGACCCCTGAAATAAACAGTCATTTTCCACGTTTGCGGGAAAGTGTTGCTGTTGTTTTCCCCAAGCCCAACTACAAGCCTAAGTGGGAGAGATTTCTCCATCAATGCTTCCTCCTCAGCTTTCTACAAAGCTGCATATTATAAACATTATTTCGGGAGGAATAAAACAAACTATAACATATTTAATTAGTGGAAAAATTAAGTATATATCTTGTTTATGAGCTCCTTGCTGTTTGATGGGTGACATAAACCTGAGAAGAGTTTATGAGCCCAAGAGGTATTTGTGCAGGTTTATAGGAAATGGCAGGAAGACATTATGATGATGATTAAGGGGCAGATTGTTAACTATGGGACATAATCGACTGCTACTTTAATTTACTTAGGCTGGGACAGGATGTGGGAAATGTGGCCACAACAAAAGGAGATTGCTTGCACTTGGAAAGGGGAGGGAGTGGTCACTATTAGCAAAACAAAGTAGCAGTAGAGAAAGTAGTAAATCCATTTTTAAAAAAACAACAGAAATGAAAAACACAAAATGTAAAGGTATGTCACAATCCTAGCTGTGGCTACTCAGAAGTAAGTCCTACTAAACTGAGTGTGGCTTATTCTCACCTGTGGCTCCCAGAAGCTGTCAGAGCATCCACACCCCAAGAATGGCTTCTACTGGCTGACTAAACCAGGTGAGGATAGCCGATGGGTCTCAAACACTGAGTGAGTTAGGGACTTCCCCTGCATGAGAAGACAGGTTTGGCAGATTGAGCGGATGAGACCAATAGTGGGTCCAACAGTCAAGAAGGTGGTTTCTGCATGTGCTAAAGAGGGAAGTGAGGGGCAGATAGGGCTCACCAACCTGGGAAGGTAGCCCGTGTAGGAGAAGAAAAACTCTGATCCTAAACCTCTGCTGTCTTGCAGGATATCTTCGGGAGAAGGAGAAAACCCTACACAGAGTGGAGTCCCAAATATGGTTGGATTGTGGCTTATATGCCTTTTTCTGGTAACTCCTGCAGCCAAGCTGGTGCCAAACATATTGCTCTGCTTCCTTTGGATCACACCAGTAAGACCAAGAAGAGGGTCTTGTTGTCTGGGCAACCCAGGACCTCCATACACACTGCCCAGGCTTGCACCCCAGCACTTTGGTGCTGCTAATGCCGTGATTTGACTTCACCCTAGGAAACACAAAAATGGCAACAACCAATTCCCAGGTAAGTGAGGTCTGCATTACAGCAGCAGCCACAAGAGAAATCCAATCCATATGAAGGCAGTGCCTACTTCCCTTTTCCATCTTAAGACTGTGATCAGAAGAAGCCTCTATGTTTTCAACATCAGTCATTGTTTTTTTTCCCCACTTGCTATGTTTACCATCTGTCTGATGATGAGTTCTGGAGAACCTGAGATATTGTGTACTATTTTTTGATATTTTGGTTGACCTAGCATGGAGTTTAGAAATGAGGAAGATCTGAAAATGGTTCCTCATCATCCTGGAAAAGTGACAAGTGGGGTGCTGCTGGATTCTGTCCTGGGACTGTTGTTCAATGTATTTATAAACAATTTGGATGAAGGAATTAAGGGGGTGATCATCAAATATGCAGACAACACCAAAACTGGGAGGGGTAGCTAATGCCTCAGAAGAGAGACTCAGGATTCAAGATGACCTTAACAGCTTAGAGAACTGGGCCAAACTAACAAAACAAATTTTAATAGAGACAAATGTAAGGTTCTGCACTACAGCAGGAAGAACCAGTTCCACAAATAGAAGATGGGAGACACCTGGCTTGCCAGTAGTACATGTGAAAAAGGATCTAGGGGTCTTTGTAGACCACAAGCTTAAGATGAGTCAACAGTGTGATGCAGCAACAAAAAAATGCTAGTGCAATTCTAGGCTGCATCAACAGAAGTATAGTGTCCTGATCAAGGGAAGTAATCAGTCAGCCTCCCCAGTTCCCCACACTACTTCCTGATCTAAAAAGGCTCCGTGGTTGACATGTGGGGCACCCGGGAAGGTTGCACAGTGCAGAGCACTGGTGAGACAATTTGTAGACTCAAAGGAAGGACCACCTTCAAAGTAGCACAAGGAGCAAAGCAGCAAAAGTAAGCATGGCAAAATTCGTGCGCACCACCTGAGAGAATTTCACAATTCCACCCCCCTCTAATTATAACTCTGTAAACTCTTTCAAAAGATTATTTGCAGACCATTTGCTTTATAGCTATGTGTGTGATGTGAGCAGTGTTTTGACATCTTGAAGATGTTTGTAACACCAGAAGAAAATACTTTTATTTCAAAAGCAAGTAACGCAATCTCATTTTCAATCCCAACATCACAAGGTCTCGAGTTTCTGCAAATGAAATTGATTTCACACATTTTCAAATTGCAGACTATTAAATTCCCCTCACTTAAGATGTCTGCTCTCACTATTAATAATTCCTGTTACTAATAAATTAGACGGCACCTTCTGCCTGCAAAGATCTCCCCCTCCAGTTCTTGCAGTGTTCTTCCTAACAACCAACTTGCGTGGTATGTTAACAGGCGGAAACAAATAGCACAAAGTTCAGCAGAAATAACGTAATTTATAAGTATAAATAATTACAGGTTTCAGCTCTAAAAAAAGTAACAGCCTCAATTCGGTTGATGTGCAGGCCCTTAAACCAGCAGATGACAGGGTTTGTGTTAATGTATTATTGAAAATCAAATTTGTACCCCACAATTCCTGCAGCAAACTCAGGGTGGCAAAGGTTGGTGGGAATCAGAAGTGTGGAGAATTGCTATTGCTCCCAGGTCTCCTTGTGAGTTTCCCATAAGCAGACAGTTAGCCACTCTGAGAACAGAATGTTGTACTAGATGGGTTTTTAGCCTGATCCAACAGGGCTCTCTTGTTATGTTCTTAGGTATAGGGGAGAGAAAACACAGCTCCCTTAGACCCAGCTTAAGCTGTTTATGCCTGCTAGCAAGTACCAGTGCCGGATTTATGTATGAGCTAAACAAGCTACAGCTTAGGGCCCCACTCTCTTGGGCCCCCCCCCAAAAAAAATTTAAAGGAAAAAAACCTGGATGTACATTTCCAAAATATAAGCTAAAAAAATAAATAAAATAAAACCTACATAAAGCAACAGTGTTTTGTGCTGTGTAAGTTCCTATGATGTAAGTAATGGGCACCACCTGCTAGCCTGCTCCCTAAAATATCACTGGTTTGCTCATTTCTATATCAATTACTTTGATAAAATATATATTTTGTTATGTGCAAATGGCTTTAGATATCTATTAGGTCCATAAATTACCATATAGCATATACAGTGGTACCTCAGGTTAAGAACTTAATGCGTTCCAGAGGTCCATTCTTAACCTGAAACTGTTCTTAACCTGAAGCACCACTTTAGCTAATGGGGCCTCCTGCTGCTGCTGCGCCGCTGGAGCACGATTTCTGTTCTCATCCTGAAGCAAAGTTCTTAACCCGAGGTACTATTTCTGGGTTAGTGGAGTCTGTAACCTGAAGCGTCTGTAACCTGAAGCATATGTAACCCGAGGTACCACCTTATTCAACACAAAAACAGTGACAACTTGTTGTTGACAAAGGACAGTTGGGCATATAAAGGGCCCCATTACCTTCAGTAGCTTAGGGCCTCATCAAACCTAAATCCACCACTGGCAAGTACCCACGGTGGCCAAGCCTATTGAACAATATTATCTGAATAGGCTTGGCTCCACAACTGCACCATCATATTCACATGATGAGAATGTGTGTGTTGGGTGGCAAGTGGGTATGTGTGGCAGGGAGTGTTCACCAGATATATGTTACTCTTCCTGCAAATCTTCATCTACTTTGATAGAGCCTGACAAGGCAAATTCTTAAAGAACTCTGCAGCAAATTTCTTTTCTGATAAATTTCAGCTCAGTTCTAGTTTCATGGCCATACACCCTTGCTAAGGAAGGAAGGAAGGAAAGAAAGATCTGGTGCACTTAAGTCCAGAGAGAGAAGACAATTCTCTCCAACCTCTCCCATATAAATAATTCCTGAACCATTTGTGTGTTTGGCTTATTGTCTCTCCTATAATCACTCAGATTATATGCACTGTCCCAACCAACCTCAATCCAGATTCCTCCTAGTCCAGGTCCTGGCCCTGACCCTCAGCTTCTCCTCCATACTTTAGTCTCAATGTTGCCCTTGTAGAACTTAACAGAAAGGAGAGTGGGGACAAAACCAGGATAAGTTGGCTCTGCCTATCATTGGCTCTCCACCTACTGTTGGGCTCTTTGCCTCCTACCCTACCACTCCGAATGGGCACCAGCCTCTACTGCCTGTTGTGTGATGGCATAGAGAGCCAGTGTGGTGTAGTGGTTAAGAGCTGTAGTCTCGTAATCTGGGGAACCGGGTTCGCGTCTCCGCTCCTCCACATGCAGCTGCTGGGTGACCTTGGGCCAGTCACACTTCTTTGAAGTCTCTCAGCCCCACTCACCTCACAGAGTGTTTGTTGTGGGGGAGGAGGGAAAGGAGAATGTTAGCCGCTTTGAGACTCCTTAAAGGGAGTGAAAGGCGGGATATCAAATCCAAACTCTTCTTCTCTTCTTCTTCTTCTTATAGGCACAATTGATGTGCCAGTTGTAGGATGGCACAACATTTTTTCTGCCCCTCATCTGGCCACCATGGGCTGCAGATGTTGTGGTGATCCCACTGCTATGAAAAAACCAAAACAAAACACCCTGCCATTGTGGGGTATCTTTACATTGCATCCTAAGCACTTCAAGTTATGGGATATAGACCTAATCCCTTTAATAGAGCTCTTAGCTATTAAATTAAGTACTTGCTTTGGCTTTGGTAGACCACTGTCATTATTCCTGTGGATTATGTCTTCCTGGTGGCCCATCATCCTTATCCAAATACTCTCTCATATTTCAACCTCTGGAGCTCGCTTAACATTCAAAGTGAACCATCCATATGGCATGCAAAGCCATTGAACTAGCAAGGCATAAATCTGCCACAATTCCCCCAGTGAAATAAATTGCTGCAAGTTAGAATGAAGCACACAAGGTACTATCATTTAGCACTGATGATCTGAAATACAGCTGTGGATCAGCACACTTTGCTTCTTTGCTGGGTATTGGGGTAGATACGTGGGTTTCCCTCCCCTCCTCAACGGTCTTGTAACTCACCAGGGATTGGAATAATTGTGGCCATAAAATGGCTGTAATGTATATAGTCACTTTTGTTCTCCTTAGCTTGACTGCTGAAGGTTAAATATTTAAGGAAAAACATAGCAGGTAGGTTTTAAACTTCACAAGGCAGTAATTGTAGTGTTCAATTCTCTCTACAGGTGAATGTGGCCCTGATGCTTCTAATCATGACACCCATCAATAATGAGCTTCTGGTTGTTCCATGTAGTATTGATAGTGTCATCCATAGCCTACAATGCGTAGCCAACGTAGTGCCTTCCATGTGTAGTTGGAAAACCCCTATCATTCCTGATCATTGGGCCATGTTGGCAGGGGCTGATGAGAGGCAAGGTCCAACAATCTCTGGAGGACTACTTCTGGACTAGAAGAATCAGTGGGGAAATTCTGCCAATGGACTATTGTGGTTCTATCCTTCCCAACCTTTAATCTGTGTTTTCATTTAATTCATTCATATAAGAAAAGAAAGAGTCATTCCATTGTCTGGAGAGGTCACTTCCTGGTTCGCATGGAGAAGCCATTTTCAACAGAGCCCAGAGACAGAAGTGCACAGCTGTATTGAGGCAGCACTGGGTGTTGAAATGTTGCACCCCTAATAATTTTACACCCAGGGCAAGTGCCCTTGTGCCGCCCCCATGCTACGTGACTGGTTATTTCTAAATTTCCATCTGTGCATAGCATTTGTCCTGCTTCTGATGGGCATCTCGTTGGCCGCTGTGAAACAGAGAGCTGGACTGGATGGGCCTGATTTAGCAGGGCACTGTTTTATGATGACAGGGTTGGGCATGCGACTCCTCTCTCTAGAGCTGACGTAATACCCTCTTTCTGCAAGTAAAGCAGGAAGCCTTCTCTTGGCTTTTAAACCATAGGAGGTCGGGTTAATGGAGAGCAAATGAAATAGAGCCTTCAGCAATGTGGAATGGTGGTGATAGGCAGACCTCAGGGAGCGATTCTTGGCGTGAGAATAGAAGCGTGCTCCTATTTGCATCTGTGAATAGTTAGAGGATCATAGGAAGTTATGCATATACGTATAATGTGAACAGGTACATGAACATTAAATATTAGTCTTCCTGCCCCAGTGAAGGGAAGGCTGACCTGGCTCGGCATACATTTGCTTTTTGGAAGAGGTAACTAATGACCATTAGTATTCAAGCCAAAGTCTTTGAAAGATTATATGGCTCAATCTTTTTTTGGCCCTCTAACAAAGGCAATCTATTTCCAATGCACTCTGGAGGCTCCTGACCTTTTTGTTACTGGAGTTTCTTAAATTTTTATCTCGGAAATCAATGAAGGAATTGGAATTCCACATCTCATTTTAAGGACAAAGGCAGAGAATTGGAGGGAGAGGAAATGATTACAGCAGGGCCGGGAGTGCAGGAGGCAGGACAAATCCAAGCTCATCCACTTTGCCTTGTAAATTCTTTAACAATTTAATTACTGTGCATTTTGTGGTTGAGTTTTAAAGCTTTGGATGCGATTCGTTCTTTTCCATTCCCACCCCCTTCTTCTTTTTTATTTCCTGGCATTTATAGAGCTGCTTGCCTTCTGCAGTTGATCTTCCTGGTGAAAGAAATTATTCTCCATCCAATTAATCTAATTAGAATGTAATCAAGTTGTAGAGATCTGTGCAGCAGTGTGAGTGATTAGGAAAAATTACCTCCCCGTGAAGAGTTTAAATTTAATTTTGGTTCTATAATCTAAAGACCAAATAAAGGGGACATACCATTTCTGCTGCAAATTCCACATTGTGCGGGACATTATTTTCCAGGGGTGCTGGTGGAGGAAAGGGGAGCGGGTGGAAAGACAGCAGTTTTCAGACATTTCCAGCTAGGACAAAATGGATAAAGAGTGGCAAAGAGGGAGGTTTTGAGATCCAAGTCGCACTGCAAATCACCCTCCCAGGTAGCTGAATCCCCTGTGTCACACTTACCTTCTTTCTGATCAAATGCAGCTTGGCAGTTTGGGTTCTAAAAAAAAAAAATGGAGAAAACAATAATTCAGCCATGTAATGTGTAGGTTGAATCACTGCTCTGCTTGATTTGGATCCTGCATGGTAGAGTGGTTAGCGCATTGGACTAGGATCCAGGAAATCAGGGTTCTGGTCCCCACTCAGCCATGAAGATCAGTTACTGTTTCCCAGCATACTTTACATCACAGAGTTGCTGTGAGCATAAGAGGGGGTGGGGGCATGTATGCTACCTTGAGCTGTTGGAGCAGGGGTAATGCATACTTTGCAATGATATAACTTCTAGCTTTGAGCCTGGATCTGGACTGTTGTTTCTTTTACCCTCCCCCCCCCCCAAAGGCACAGCTTCCAGCACCCTTAACAGACTACAGCTCCCAGAGCAGTTTGGGGAAAGTGATGTGCTTTAAATGTATAGTGTGTACACAGCCTAGCTGCAAGTGAAATGAGGAAGGGGAGAACCAGATCCACCTTTCCCAGGCTAGGACTGCTTTTGGTTTATACATGTTAGGAAGCAATTTTCCTCCTGACTAGGCACATTCTGTGCTCTCTGTTGAAGCTTGACTATCAGTTCAGGCTCAACACATGTGTTGACAATTCAACAGGTTTATTAAGAGGGTTTAGATAGAGCTTCCTGGCAAAACTGCAGCAGTTCTCCTAGACTAAGGGAAGAGAAAGCAGGAGAGGGTGTTCTGGAGGTTGTGTTGCTTTGCTTTGCTGAATATAACACGTGTTTGAGCAATATTGCATGATCATGATCTACCTCCAGGACATGTTTGCAGGAAAGAGCCTTTAATGGGTTGCATTGTCAAATGATCCAGAGGCAACTACCAGCCTGTGTCACCACTGCAAGGCTCTCTTCATAAGGCAAGGCCTAGCCTCCATTCATCCTTTCAGCAGGGAGCTGAGGAAGAATAGCATGATGGACTAGTTCACCATGTAGAGAGACATCTGGCTGCCGCAGAGGGAAGAGAGGAGAACCAAAGGCCCTCCTCTATCATCTTAGCCAAGAGATCAGCTGGGTTGATCCCTCTCCATAAATGCTATCTATTGTCCATCCCTAGGGTGAAGTCACCAGAAGGAAGTGCCCTTTAAATGTTTCATTAGATTGTAGGAGGCCCTTCCCTGTGGGATTCATCACATGGTTGTTGTGTAGCTGTCCTCCTGCTTCAGGTGTCACACAAGGAGGGCATCTGGAAGGTAACAGGGGTGGTCCCAGAAACAGAGTCTTGCAGCAGTCAAAATAGAAGAGAAACACAATAATTAAGATCAAGACACATTCAAAAATCTAATCACAGGAGTGCTATAAGAAGCATGGTCAAAGTAGCCATCCAAAGTCAAAGCATAGGTCAGGTAACCAGCAGGACAGCAGGTACCCACTAGTCAAGGAACTATTGCAAGGATGTTGCTCCAATATTCTGTGTCTGCAACTAAAGCTTTTTAATCTTGAATCTTCATAGCCCCCATGCAGAACACAACTGCATGCCATATGGGTTGCCCAAAGATTTGCTTTGCTTGTGAGAAGTAGCTTACTCATGAGTATCCCTTTACTCCTGTCCTGAGGAGTCCATGTTCTTCAGGGAAGGACTCCTGTGTCTGGGAGTTGACTGAGCCCATACTTTTAGATGCTGGTATTCCTTAAGACTCAATGGCCATTCGACTTACGCCTCTGATTACATGAAGGAGCTATCCATATATTGAGGAGCAGGTTGGATTGCTGTGACCCCTGAAGGCCCTGTGTCCCCCCCCCCCCGCTCTTCTTCAGTGTCACTTGGCATGGGCTTCTTCTCTGCATTTGCCTTAGGTAGTTCATACTCTAAAGAGGATTCTTCAAGTAGCGTCATGGCAGTAATGTTTAAAAGCATACCTCTCTCTCTCTCTCTCTCTCTCTCTCTCTCTCTCTCTCGTGTGTGTGTGTGTGCGCGCGCGCACGCATACACCTGTGTCTTCAGGTCTTTCTCCAAACACTGACACCCTGTGACTTCTGCAAGACTTTCAGCATGACAGTTCAGTAGGGTTGCCATATTTCAAAAAGTATAATTCCTGACACCCGCAAAGTCGTTGAGCTTTTTATAGGAAACCACCAAAATAGTTGAGTGGTTTTTTGGATGTGTGGTTGTGGGTTTTTTTGAAACTTACCCCCCAAATAGTGATTTGATTTCAAGCTCCTTGAGCTGTTTCTGCTGCTTTTGCTATCATGTTGCCATATACCTGTGTTTTCCCTGACATTTTTACACCCCAGAACCAGGACATGCCAGGAATTTCCCTGGCGTATGGCAAGCCTACAGTTTAGCCATAACATGAGCCCATGGAGATGTTCTTCCTGGTGGTGGGTGGTGCCCATTGGGATTGATAGTGCAGAAGGTAGAGATGCCAAACACTGGCCGGAGCTAAGGACAGGAAGAGCCAACCAAGTCTACTTTTGCCCCCATCCTCTCCCTGCTGAGTTTAACAAGGACAGCATTGAGATTAAGGAGGAGGAGGAGGAGAAAGCTGATGGGCAGGACTAACTCCTGGATTGCTTGTAAGTAGGAAGGCAGGCAGCTGGGGACTGATTACAGGCAGACTAAGGTTGTTAGGACAATGCCCCTTTTGCCCTAAAATGGACCAGCCTCCACTAACAATTCCCACAGTGCTCCTATAATGTATAAAGGCCATCTTACGCAGTTCGCTCAAAAGCAGAGGTTTTGCAGTGAAGCTTCGTACTTTCCCCCTTCCCTCCCTCAGACTGAGACAAATCTCCAGGAAAATTCATTACACGGTTTAAGTGACAGTATTTATCATTCCATTCGAACGTTCAGACTCACAGCTCTCCTCTCTCTCACACAGGCATGGCCATTATAATTTGTTTCGTTCATATTTTCCCCCTGAAGTTAGGCTTCAAGAGTGATGGGTTGAAAACAAAGAACAAAGTGAGGAGGAGCTTGGGGCTAAAAGCACAACAATGGGCTAATTTATGGCCCATTGCTTTTTTTCATTGGGGGGTGGCAGACAACAGTTGTAAACAATGGTTCCTTTTTAAAAAAACTGCCATTCTGTCACATGACAAGGAAGAAAGCAAAACAACTCCTTGCATCCCAAAGGCAATTTTAAATCTTGTTCCAACTACATGATATCCCAAGAATTCATAAGAACATAATAAGAGCCCTGCTGGATCAGGCAACAGGTCCATCTAGTTCATCACCCTATTCTCACAATGGACCAAGAGATGCCTATGGGAAGCCTGCAAGCAGGAGTTGGGTGTAACCGTGCTCCCCCGACTTTCAATTTCCAGCAACTGTTTGGGGTATGCTGCCTCTGACAGTGGAGGTAGAACACAGTCATTATGGCTAGCAGTCTTTGTTTTCCATGAAACTGACTAATCCTCCTTTAAAACCAGCCATCCTTACCTCTTGTGGTTGACAAATTCTGTAACTTGGCTATGCCTTGTGTGAAGAAGTATTTTTTTTTCTTAATCCATGGTTTATTAGGGCTTTCACATTATTACAACAGAACTGTACCATCCCTTAGTCTTCCCCGTTCTCTGCTCCCTGCTTCTCTCTCCCTCTCTGACCTCGTGCCCAGCTTTTAATAGTGTATTTTCATCTCTGTTGCTCGGTTTATTTTGGCTGTTCTGGTCTTCCAAAACTCAGCTTCATTGGATGTACAGTGGTACCTCGGGTTAAGTACTTAATTCATTCCAGAAGTCTGTTCTTAACCTGAAACTGTTCTTAACCTGAAGCACCACTTTAGCTAATGGGGCCTCCCACTGCTGCCGTGCCGCCGGAGCACAATTTCTGTTCTCATCCTGAAGCAAAGTTCTTAACCCGAGGTACTATTTCTGGGTTAGCGGAGTCTGTAACCTGAAGTGTATGTAACCTGAAGTGTATGTAACCCGAGGTACCACTGTACCAGAATTCTAGTATAACGAGAGAGGGAGAATAAGTTATCTCTATCCACTTTTCCCACACCATGCCTAAATTAAGACACTTCTATCAGCTCCCCTCTTGAATTACATACTTGGATGCTGTCCTCTCTTTCTAGTCCTTCCAATCCAGTCATAGGCAAACTTGGCCCTCCAGATGTTTTGGGACTACAACTCCCATCATTCCTGACCACTGGTTCTGTTAGCTAGGGATGATGGGAGTTGTAGTCCCAAAACATCTGGAGGGCCAAATTTGCGTATGCCTGTTCCAATCCCTTGCTTCATCTATGTCCTTTTCTCATCTCTTTTCTTGTGCCTTTTGTATGCTCTTCATTTGTGTGGATTAAAAAAATATACTCTGGGCTAGTCAGTGTTGTTGGGCAATGACTGGCAATCAGCCCTGATCATTGGCCTTGCAAGCTGATGGGAGCTGTAGCTCAATAATGCCTGGATGTTACCACATTGACTACCCCAATATACATCAGCAATGGCAGTAATGATGGAAGAAATAGTACAAAGACAGATGAATGACCTGGACATAATAGACTGTAGCCAACAAAAGTCTACTTAGCATTGACACATTTTAATCAATTACCTTGTTACTTAAGTCCATTGATTTCAATGGGACTGCTCTGAGTATGAATAACATTGGATATAACCCATGGATACAGTAAAACACTGTAAATTTGTATGTTACAAGACTAGAATAGAGCTGAGACAAATCCCCTTATTTGCAAGCTGTTTGCTAGCTTCTTGCCTAGTTGCTTCTTCTTAAACCTTATCATGTTTCCACTAGCCACACCTTCTGTCTGGCTTTTTCGTTCCTCAATCCCCACAGGGAATTTTCCCAGCAGATCTTCCACTTGTAAAACCTTTGGGTTTCATATGTAAATTTTACATGCTTTGGCAATTGGATCCTCGTTACACTGGACGGCCACCCATTAATTCTTATACAAAGACAAATTCTCACTGAGTCTTTGGTCATCATGAGGCCCTGGGAACCCATTAATTCCCATCAGTGCTATCATTTGTCACCATCAGATAGTTTAAGAGACCTAAATCTTGCAGACCTTTATAAACCTCTTGATAGAATAGCTTTTAAGATAAAAATCTTGAGTTATTCCTTTCTTCTTTTATTAAGCTGGTAAGTTATTTATAGGGGATAATATCAGTGGTTTGTTTATTTTTCTTTAAAAAGTGCCTCTAAAGTGAATCCATAAAATATTAATTCCCCCCATGCTTGTATGTAAATTCTATACATGTACTGGAGTGAACAAAATAGTCTAGAAATAGGAAGACGGTACTAGGATCCAGCAATCTGTTCTAGTTGCAAAAGCTCCATTGTGTGGATGGAGCCATCCTCACCCAGTCATTTCAGTGAGGAGAGCTGCTCAGCATCCATATCATTGACGGCACCCTAATCTCCAAGGGATGAGAGACTTCAAGGATGCCAGCACCTCTCCAGAGTTCGGTTTCCTAGGAGTGAAGGTCAATGGAGACTGAAGTGTCTTTAGGATATATGGTTTTATTGACAAGTATATACAAACTGAGGACAGGATGAAAGGACTCACAATGTTAACACTCCAACAGATCCCCATTAGGTTTCCAGGGAGGTTGCTAAGCCACACCTTTGGGTCCACCATAGATCAAGGACAGTCTCTGTGTCTCCAGCTTCCAACTCACACACAAACTCTGGCTATTGTTCTTCCACCTCACAAAGTGATGTTGTTTCCAACTCAGTGAAGCGGGGAGTAGGTTTACCCCAGTTTGTCTCTATGGCAGCAGGGCAACCTGCTTGGACATAGAAATGGTGGTACTCAGCTGGCCAGTTAAGGCCATAATCTTACAAATCTTACAAACCAGATTCTGACTGGTTTAACAGCTTCTTCTACTAGATTCTAAGCCTCACTGGATACAGAATCAGAGGCCTGGAAGGCACCCATAAATATAATCCAGACTGACACCCCCCCCCCCAAAACTCCTATAATAATATATTTTGTGCTTCTAGGTTAGTGGGTCCTTCTTTGAAATTGTGGAGGAGGGGTCTGCATCCATATGAAATTCATCTTTTTCTTTTTTTTTAAAGATATTTATTAAAAGTTTAACAATTACAGAACAAGAGAAAAAAGAAAACAGTAAAAAATTACAATACATTACATCAAAAGAAAATAAAAACCAGATTAGAAAGGAAACAATGCAGCACAACAATAAAAACAAAAAAAGCAAAAACATTTTAAAACAAAAACATTTAAAAACATATCCAATATTCCTTATCTTTACCTTTCATTTACCTGTTTCATCGACCTCCTCACACCTCCCTTTTTGTATTCTAGTTCAGTTAACTATTTCAGCAAATTCTTTCCATCTTTCTCAATTTTTGTTCTATGATTTATCTTAACGGTCTAACCTTTAATTTTTCCATTTTTACCCATTATCAATCAACTTTTACTTAAATCTTTATTACATTTCTGTTAAAACCATATAGCTTCATTCCAACATCCTTCTAACATTCATTAATTTTGCAATGTTTTTGTAAATATACTTTAAATTTTTTCCAATCTTCTTCCACCAACTCTTCTCCCTGGTCATATGAAATTCATCTTTACATCAAGGTCTTTCCACTTTTCATACAAGTCATTTATTATGTAATAAGTGCACATCAGGGCCATAGAAAGCTTCCTTTTACTGGCTCAGATCATGGCTCCATCTGGCTCATACTAGCTCCAGGGTTTCAGTCAAGGGACATTCCAAGCCCTACTTGGAGGTTGAACCCAGGTTTTCCTGCCTGCAAAACCCTTCCCCACTTTTGCACAATCTGTATGTCTTGGCTCAAGCATACAGTGGTATCTCAGGTTACATATACTTCAGGTTACATACTCTGCTAACCCAGAAATAGTGCTTCAGGTTAAGAACTTTGCTTCAGGATAAGAACAGAAATTGTGCTCCGACGGTGCGGCAACAGCAGGAGGCCCCATTAGCTAAAGTGGTGCTTCAGGTTAAGAACAGTTTCGGGTTAAGAACGGACCTCCGGAACGAATTAAGTACTTAACCCAAGGTACCACTGTACTCATGGCCATTGGGATGTTGCATGTTCCTTGTACCACTAGAAAATGCAATCCTTTTCTCAGATAGCATGTTGATTACCACCGTGATTCCTATATGGAAGGTGACTGGCTGTGCAAGTGTCAGGGACACTTATTGTTTGTGACAGGAAGATGCCAGTCTCCAGCTTATGAACTTTGATCATAACATTACTGGAATTTGCATGGATGGAATGCAGTTTGAGCTGCAGATGGGCAAACACTGCCCATCTCGATTTGGAATGGATTCAGGGAAAGCTTGGCCACCCCTCTCCCAATAAAATCTCCAAAAGACCTCGCTCAAATGTTTCCATACCAGATCCTGTACTGTCCTCATCCTCCAGCTGATTTCTGTCCTTCCATCCCTTTTCTGGCCACAATGACAGGGGAGGAGTGCGAGGTGGAGGGCTGAAGGCCCTTACTAACAGGAAGTTCCCAGCACAAAGGTTTCTCTAGGAATTATATTTTGCCACAAATTTACTGATCCTTGGTCAGAGCCCATAAGCTCTGGAGAATTCCCATTGATTTTTACACTAGTCCTGTCCTGTCTGTAAGACTTCTAGGCTTAACAGAGAGCCAGTGCGGTGTAGTGGTTAAGAGCGGTAGTCTCGTAATCTGGGGAACCGGGTTCGCGTCTCCGCTCCTCCACATGCAGCTGCTGGGTGACCTTGGGCTAGTCACACTTCCTTGAAGTCTCTCAGCCTCACTCACCCCACAGAGTGTTTGTTGTGGGGGAGGAAGGGAAAGGAGAATATTAGCCGCTTTGAGACTCCTAAAGGGGAGTGAAAGGCGGGATATCAAATCCAAACTCTTCTTCTTCTTCTCTTCTTAACGAAGGCCCAGTCAGACCCCCCCCCAACTTTGCTCACTCCTGTCACTGTTGATGGAAAGTAAATTTGAAGGGAAGTTAAAAAGGAGGTGGCAAGGGCAGGTCATTGTATAAGGATGGCCAGACCAGTCTTAGCCTTTTTATTTATTTCTTTTCGTTAGTTTTGCTACTGCTCAATCACTTGACCAGTCTGTTATCTCTCTCTCTCTTTCTTTTGGTGAACTTTATGAAAGAACTCGTGGAAAATCCATGTGTAATTTGTGCATATTTTGTGCATATTTTGTACATGCTTTTCAATGCATCTCATGCTCTAAACATGTATTTTGTAGACATTTTTAAAATGCCAAGTATATGTTTTGTGCATACTGTTTTGGACCGAAAGTGCAATGCAAAATCCAGGGAAGAGTGAAATATGAACAATAACTGAGTTCCAGTGCTCAAATAAGTATGGTAATGTTGAACTGTGTTGGTCTGCTTTTGCCTCTTCCATTTCTATCTCAGAATGGGTCAAGCTGCTTCACAAGATAAACTGGAATTCAGAAGGACTTTGACATGGATTACAACTGGAGGAATTCAATTCCACCCACTTCTCAATTCTGAAACTTGCCAACATTGAAGCATGAACATACAGAGAGATTCTCAGATCCAGCACAGAATTCTGGATTAGGCTTGAGGAAATTAGTGGTAACATCTGGATCTCTGTCTCTGCTTTAGGGCAAGTCCACAAATTGCTAATTTCTACAGAACAGTCATTTAGCATCCCAAATGAGAGAGGATGCTCTGGCGAATTACTTCTATTTGGGAAGAGGAAGAAGAAAAAGGAAGCTGGATCTCAAGGATGTCTCTATATCAGCCAGCTCTTAGAGTTCCCTCCCCACAACGCATAATCTACAAGCTGATTATTAAACCATGAGTTCGTTTGAGCACACACAGAGCGTTGTCCCCACCATCACCTCCAAACATAATATTCAGGCATATTAGAGGTCAGAGAGTATGACTTTCAGACTAGTTGAAACCTTTATAAGAGCTGCCAAAATCTGCTTCCGAATAAGGCTTTTCAAGGAGAAAAGCTTGTGGAGAGATGCTTTTTCATTCCATCCTTGTGCTTGACTCTTTTAGAATGATAGAGATGTGGGAGCCCCCTGTGGTGTGTGTTGGGCGGTGGGGGGAGTCTTTTGGATTGCATGTCAATTTCCCAAGAGAGAGGGTGAAGATCCTGTTCTGTCTAAAGCTTCATAAGTGGAGGGCACCCTCTGATGTGTCATTACCTTCCTGCCTGTAAATCTCACTAATATTATAAACTGGAGCCGTGGAAAGGTCAAGTCGGTGAAATGTTTCTTTTGAGTTCCTTAGACGGAACAGTAGGCAATAGTTTTCAATTATTAACACTCAACTTGCAAAATTGGGGCTCCTGCAGGCTCCTACAGCAATCATAGCTCTGCGCCAGCCCTGCTCACTCTGGAACTGCCTCATCAGCATTCTGCCTGTTCTGTGCTACTCTCCGCTAAGGTCACCGTGCGGCTTTCCTGACTGCTCTCAGTAGGGATGGACCCATTGGTCTATTTCCAGGCCGTATCAATTTTACACATCCATTCTGACTTGTCTCGGCATTAATCTGAGCAGGTAACTCACATTTTACATGTTCTTGGCCATTGTGTGTATAAGCAAAATCGTGTAGAGCCAGAATGACCCCTAGATAACCATTTAAAAACTTTTTTAAAAATCGCTGCACTTTCTGATGAATGACAAATGTGGCTCTTAGTCCTTCTCTCTCTTGCTGGATGCTACTGTGGATGATATGTGAACTAGGGGGGTTGACCAGTAGCCAGAATAAGTGCTTGGCTGTGGTTCAGATCAAGAGGTGGGGTGTATGGGTAAATCTGCTGCTGGTGGTGATTCTTTGTGTGGGGGAAACATGGTAATTGGCAGCTGCTGCTGCGTCTCTTGAGCTCATCAAACATTTCCTTGTTCCTTGATACTGCCTTCAGAGTGTCTTTAATCCCACAGATGATCTTGAGGCTACGTTCCACAGTGGGGTCAAACTCTGCAATCAGATCGTTTGCATGCTTTATGACTTAGAAGAGTTTAGAAAAATTCTGATGGTTCCAGCTTACTGACTCATGCTCACCGTCCTCATTTTTGCATTCTGAACTTGATCTGCCCAGTTCCCCCTCCTTTTCAAGAGTCAACAGCTGCTGGCCCTCAATCAGCTCTTCCATGTCTTCATAGATGAGGTCAACAAAGCCATCACCACCCACTTGCCTGGTCATCTGCACAATGTTATTCACCTCAGTGGCAATGCTTGGAAATCCCTTGAAATTGTGCACACATTCCTTCCACAAGTTCTGCCAGCATCCACTCATTGTTTTGGGCTTGATTATATCCACTGCCTGTTTGATGTAGGTGATGTAATGGGCAAAGCTGGAGGACTTCCAGCATGCCATGAGGTCAAGATCCTGATCAGTATCCATTATGTTGATCATCCAGGAGGTAAACTTTGTGTAAGCAACTTTGAAGTAGCAAATCATACCTTGATCGAGAGGCTGGATGAGTTCCCTTCCAACTCTATAGTCCTATGATCTCTTCACCACTTGGCAGAGATTATAACATGTGCTTACATATATGCACAACATGATAAGCTAGGTGTTAGGAGAAGCCAGCATCAGCACATAAGAGCTTAGGAAGTTGACTTTAACTGAGTTAGGCCATTGATCCAACTAGCTCAGAATTGTCTATAGTGACTGACAGCAGCTCTCCAGAGTTTCAGATCGAGAGCCTCTCTCCCAGCCCTTCTGCATGCAAAGCAGATGCTCTACCACTGAACTAGGGTGCTTTCCTCAACTTACACAGTGATGGGGGCTTAAGATCTTATTTAGCAATGACTGAACTGCCCTGATTTGCTGCCCTGCCCCATCAGACATACTTTCTTGTGCTCCCAAACCACATCATTCTTCTATTCTCTATGGTGAGATGCACTCAGCATGGATGGAAATTTGTGAGAAGCTCAGTGGAAGAGAAGAGGGGGAAAAGGAATTTTGATACCAATCCATTTCTCGCTGCTGGGAAAAGGGATAGTTCATTGGTTGTCGATATTCTCCCGCTGTGATAAAAGCTTAAGAAGCTGCCTTTTTAGATGCCTGCTGTTGAGCACAGGTTGTAAAAAAAATAAAAATAAAAAATTTAAAAACCCAGAATGCTGCTAGTGAAAGCACATAATCATTTGGTGCAGCTCCAGCAGTCCAGGATCCTGGTTCCTGTAGTTTTTCTGAGGAGCACCCTTATGAGAGGCAATCTTCACCCTGCTGCACAAAATCAAGTTCATGCTGTTTGCTAGCAAAACTGACAGATGCAACTGATCGAATCAGGCCAACACCGTAGTGGGCCTGCAACTCTCAGGCCACATTTACACCATTCATTTAAAGCACTACCTTTAACAGTCATGGCTTCCCTCAGAGAATTATGGGAGCTGTGGCTTGTTAAGGTTGCTGAGCACCCTAAGGAGACCCCCGTTCCCCTCACAGAGCTACAATTCACAGAGCTCCCTGGGAAGAGGGGTTATTGATGCAAATTTGGAAACAACTGTTGTATTTCAAATGCAAATGTGGTGAGGAAGATCGCAATCAGGTGACCATTGTGCCCGTTCAGCCTGCTTTCTAGCAGTTAAGACCATAAGGATATAAGAAGAGTCTGCAGGACCAGCCCAGTGTCACACCCTCCAACATTCCTCAGAAGGAAATAGGGACATTTCTCACTCCCCTACAAATGACCCTTCTCAACCCCACATCCCCCCAGAGCCTTTCCACCACCAGTACACCAACTGGACACAGCACACACACACACACCCTCGACTGTCCCGAAAAAAGCCTTGGATCCTGATTTTCTGTTATTCTTTGGTAGATATACAAATAGAAACACACACACCGATAAATAATTTTTGGAAAGGAGCAAGATCAGATGCTGATGCGCAAGTACTTAAAAAATCATGACTTCTGGCACTCTGTTCCGCTGCCCCTTTCTTCCCACCCAGGGCAATCTTGCCGTCTGCCTGTACCTCAGGGCTGGTTCATGACAATGGCAGCCTCTGCTCTCCTTACTCATAGCTGCTATGAGTTGCCCAAGGGAGGCCAGTGGCAGCAGCTAATGGAGAGGCCATGGCAGGGCAATGGGATGCTCCCTCACAGCCCACCACCACTGCCGCCACCGCTGTTCAGGGCAAGTGCCGGCTCATCCTTCTCTCCGAGCTTGGCAGCAGTGGCACTGGTGGGGGAAAATAGGGGTATTCTGGGGTCAAATCAAAAACTGGGATGGCTTTTGTAATTCTGGGAATGTCAGGGACAGGGCAGAGGAGGAATGGTGGAGATCGCCTCCCCAGCCTGACCCTTCCAGAGAAGAAGAAGGCAGTTCAGAATTACAACAGGGTTTTGAGGGAGGTCACAGCTCAGAGAAAGATGAGGGGGAAAGCTGGGAAATAATGGAAGAGGAGGAGGAGACAAAGCAGGAGCAGTTGACATGTTATCGCTAGAAAGCATTCCAGACCCACCATCTCCCAGAACCCGGCGAGCCTTAAAAGTAGGAGAGCAAAGGGCTCAAAGGCAGATGGCCCTAAGCAGCAACCATAATGAGGAAGTGGGAGAAGTGGAGGCATGGAGGTTTACTCGGGACAACACCATTATTCCAAGAGGCTGCATTCTCAAGCCTCTCAGTTACCATCAGAATAAAAGCAGACGGTAAGGACTTTTCCATGTCTTATTCATTCCTGGCAACTTGCTGTGGGGTTTGTTCCTCTGTCTCCTGACAAGGACTGTCTCTGGAATATTTGTTTAGTCATTTAGTCGTGTCCGACTCTTCGTGACCCCATGGACCAGAGCATGCCAGGCACTCCTGTCTTCCACTGCCTCCTGCAGCTTGGTCAAACTCATGTTAGTAGCTTTGAGAACACTGTCCAACCATCTCATCCTCTATCATCCCCTTCTCCTTGTGCCCTCCATCTTTCCCAGCATCAGGGTCTTTTCCAGGGAGTCTTCTCTTCTCATGAGGTGGCCAAAGTATTGGAGCCTCAGCTTCAGGATCTGTCCTTCCAGTGAGCACTCAGGGCTGATTTCCTTAAGATTGGATAGGTTGATCATCTTGCAGTCCCTGGAATATAGGGACACTTAACTTCTCACAGTGAACAAACAGCTTCCTGTATCACAAGTAGGACCTGAGAGCAAGGGCACTCTCCCCGCCTGTGGTTTCCAGCAACTGATAATCAGAAGCATGACTGCCTCCGACTGTGGAGGCAGAACATAGCCATCATGACTAGCAGCCACTGATAGCCTGATAGCTTTTCACAGGCTGCAACGGCGCTGTACAATGCAACCCGGCACCTCAAGGCACGACTTGGCAGTGAGCATCAGGCAAACAGTTTAAACAAAATACAGTTTTACAGTTCATTTCAGTTAATCACAGTGTCTATGTTCCGAGCTGATCTCCCCAGAATTGCCTATAGAACAAAGCAATGGCTGATTGGCATTCCATTATGACCCTGCTCAACCATTCATAAGGCAAAGAGAGTGGGGGGAAAGATTTGATGGAAAGATTTGATTCCGTTTTCAGGCTAGACTAATTCAAAGCCCCGTGCATTATAAATCATAGCAAATGTTCTTTATAAAAAATGCATGCTTCCAGCCCATGTGCTCTAGTATCAGATCTGTGATTTATGTCTGTACCTTATTAAGTTGAAAAACAAGCCAGGGGAGAGGGGGCCACCACTGCCCATCAAGGAACATCTTCCTACCCATTAAGGGAGCAAAATCGCACTCCGTAGAACATCCAGAATGAATATAACCAGTGCCTTTTTCCTGGGGGGGGGGGGGACACAGGGGTATTCACATCATTTTGTGAATCTAAGTTTGGCCTTATTGAGGGGCAGTATTTCAATACGAGTAGGAAAATGAGAGTACCCCTAAACATTTTTTTTAGGGGGAAAAAAGCACTGAGTATAACATACGTGGTTTCTGGGTGGATTAATAGACTAATCTTTTCAGCTTCCCAGGAGAAATCCCAAAGCAGAGAACAAAGGAGGGGGAAGAATCCATGTTCTGTGGTTGGAAGGGGAGACTCCTTGGACCAGCTAACAGCAACCACCACCACCACCAACTGAGAAACAACTCCTGCCAAAGCTCTTGGCTGAGAGGGGAGGCTAGTGGCCACAAAAACTGGAGGGACAGTTACCCAGAGCTGGGATGGCATAGAGTGGGGAAGTGCTTGCCTGGTTGCCTAGGGCTACTGTGACTCTCCCCAGGAGCCTAAGGGGTTTGACACACATCCGTAGATTGCTAGGGGTAGGGAAGAAATTTGTTTGCTTTGCATTTTAATGCAAGCCTACTAAATCTGTCTTTCCCGAAACACTGCTTGGACCAAAACAAACCTGCTCTTTGAAATTGTATAGGATGCATATGCATTTCTATATGGGTTTTTTTTAATTACCGCAAACTGATGTGGAAATAGTGCAAACTGAATATTGGAAAAATGAGAAATTGAAGTCTTGGGCAACTTTAAAAGTAGCTTAGACATTTGGAAATGTAAGGAGAATGAGGGCACCTTTTACCATATGTGGTGGAATTGTCAAGTGATAAAGGAAATGATATATAATGCGTTGGGGGGGAAAGTTTAAATAACATTTGTTTTAAAAAAACCAGAAGCCTTTTTGTTAGGATTTGTAGGTGCAGAGATACCGAAGGAACTGTAAAGACTGTTTATGTATGCTACAACAGCTGCAAGGATGCTGTTTGCCCAGAGCTGGAAAGATGATAAGATACCTACTAGGGTGGACTGGCAGATGAAATTATTGGACTATGCAAAATTAACTGGGAAAATCAGAAATCAGGAGGATCAAAACTTCAACAGAGAATGGGGCAAATATAGATTGTATTTGAAAGACCACTATAAACACTTGGACTCTTTGGCAGGTTTAAAATAACTCTTGCAATGATACATAGACTTTGGATATAATGGAGGACTGTAAACTAGATGGACTTGTAATAGGCAGTTGAAAAAGTTACTTAGAGAACCCATGGAGGAGAGGAGGGGAGTCCTAGGGTTCGGAAGAATCTTGTGTAAAATTCTAATATTTGCAAAAATATTATTTCTGTGAATGAACTTGCAAAATCAAATAAAAAACTAAAAATAAAAATAAAAGAAGCTTATACAAAATCCTTGCAGATAAGATTATCAGTGGCAACTAGCCTTGATGGCTCTGTTCTACCACCACAGTCATGGGTAGTGTTCTTTCTGAATTCCAGTTGCTGGGAATCACAAATGTGGAGAGTTGCACTCAGGTCTTGCTTGCAGGTTTCCCATAGGCAGAGGAAATCAATAGAACACCAGGTAATAGTTCAGGGGTGGGAGTATTCAGGTGACTCCTTGGCTTGGCACATCTGCATTCCCATCCCTATTTGTGGATGGCAAAGGTGAAGGGAGTAGTTTGCTGAATATCATAGAATAATAGAACTGTACAGCTGGAAGAGACCCCAAGGGTCATTTAGTT